ACTGATATAGCATATAAATAGGTAAGAATAGATAAGGTTTTACAAGGGTGGTGGTGAGTCCTGGAGGTGGACACACTGTATAGAGTGCCCAGTTTAAGATGCTTTTGCGCGATATCTCAGTTATCTTTGGAGATGGAGGTTTTCAAATTACTGCCTTATAGTAGAAGAGCCAGGTGCAAATTTCGACCGTCATCTGATAACGAAATGTTGCATGTTCCAAAGGCATGTGAAAACATTGTATATTTTATCGAACTACACCAGTGCCAACCACTATCCTAAGCAAAATTATTGAAAAATGGAACTTTCCTGTGCGGTAATTTGCACTCACTATCGCCATTTGATGAATATATATAAGAATTATGCCATCCGATGCTAAATCCATTGCACATTGATTTATTTTATGCCATTATTCCGGACACACTTCCGTCATGTGATAACCAGTTGAAAAAAAAAGCACACAAAAGGGGATAATATCCCCTTTGCTAATATTCAAACGTGCCGCGACTCAAACTGATCTGAGCTAGAGGCAGAGCGTCCATATTTCCGAGACTATTTCGTCCCCGTCGAAAGATAATATCCGATGGACTAATGAAAAAATTCATGTGGTGCTAGAACTACGATAATTCTAATCCACATGTTGAGTTTCACAATGGTCCATCGGATATTGTCTTTAGAGAAATATTATCGGAAATATTGATAAGAACCAGTGTAAAAAACATACGGATTTGAATCTCAGTTTAATTACTTGTACTAGTTCATCGGATATCATCTTTCGACAGGGGCAAAATATTCTCAGATCAGAAATATCGACGCTCTGCCACTAATAGCTCAGGTTGAATCGCGGCACGTTTGGATTTTCGCCAATTGGACATTATCAATTGGTTCGGATGGCATAATTCCTATATCTCGAAATTTGCAGTCGGCTCATGGACTATTACTTTTTTGTGAAACGAACTATGCCGCATTCGGAATTTTTACAGCTCTTCATGTCTTTGAGATACAGGGCGAAGCTGGAAATTTTCACTTTCTGAGCAAATCCCGTATCTTGGTTACTTTTCAACTCACCGGCAGGATGAGAAGGGGGCTTTCTAAAACTTCCTACGTATAAAACAATAGTGTACTCATTTTATTTCTGTAATCATTCATTTTTAGAAAATGGAGCCAAAAAATTTCCTCTCAAATGAAAAAAAGAAACAACTTTATTATATTCCCGATGATCTATGAGAAATCTGAATCAAACTGGACATTTTCTAAAAATGAGCGATAATAAAAATAAAATAAGTACGTCACTGTATTATACGAACAAAGTTATATAAGGCCTCGTTCTCATCTTGGCGATAAGTTGAAAATTATCGAAGATACGGAAGATGCTCAAAAAGTGAGAATTTTCAACTTCGCCCGTGATTTCAAAAACATGAAGGACTGTGAATATTCTGTGTGTGGCATAATAAAGAATGTGAAAACCGCACAAGCATCGAAAACTGGACACACTATACATAGAACTAACAACTAAGTAAGTGACTTATCTGAAATTCACTGTAGAAAAACAACAAAAAAACATAATTTTCAGAATCCAACCACTTTTTTTTCACTGTCGCATTCCTAGTTGTAACGCATTCAACTTGCCATCAAGCAAATAAACATTCCAAAAAAGTACGAATTACAAAGTACCCTTCATTAACGTTTTCAATACCTATCTTGAGACTGAGACAATCCCCCCTCCCCCTGTCCGTTTCCGCATAAAATGAAACGTGCCTACAAGATATATTCCGGAGACTGTCCGGAAAATCGTGAAAATTCGGATCGTGTAGTTTATTTGCCGTGAAAGTGTGCTCTCTCTGTGTGTACATAACTTCCGAGAAGGAGAAACAGTAAAAGAGGAAATTCGAGCGGAACGACTTTTCACATTTTATGGAGGAATCATCGGAAAAGCGGCGAGTCTAAAAGCAGAATAGGGAAAAGTCGCTGGGTCCAGCAAAAATTGTCAAAGGTGATAGTCATTTATAATACACGATCCTAGTAGGAAAGAATATCTTTACTCATTTTTGAGACATTTTTTGAAAAATAAATGATTCATGTTCTTGCATACTGACATGGTTTATCAAGAACGTGTACTCGAATGAAAATTTTTATCGACCTGAGTATTTATACAGTGTGTCCCACTTACCATGCTCACCATGGGTATCTTTTTAACGGTGAAAGATACGAGGTCGGTTAGACGACACGAAATATGGAGTTTGTCAAGGCCAACTATAATGTGAAAAAATATTTTGATAAAATCTATTCGTTTTTGTTTAATACGCAAAAAACAGATTTCGATCATTTTCATGTCTCCTCCGTAACTTCTTTATTTATGAAAATATTCAAATAGGAATTTCACATTCTCATGGCAGTTTTTCAGAGTGATTTCGAAAAAAATATGAAATTTATACCAACTCTTCTAGAATTTGAGATATCAGCACCAACTTTAGTTTTTCAAATGTAGGTCATAGCTCACTATGACTTAGTTACAAATAACTTTTTTTTCTCTTACAGATGATATGTCGCAGTAATAGTTTTGTGTTGATAACAACGGAGTTATCGTCATTTATACAAAAACAAAAAATTATTTGGAAGCCGCCATCTTGAATTTATACATTTTTACAAAAAAATCATGATCTCCGATCTCAAAAACCCCCACTTAACAATTTTGAATGGAATCGGACCAAATCTTGTCCGCCATCTTGGGGCAGCCATTTTTTTTAATTTCAACAAAAATTCCATAATGTATTGTCACCGAAATTATGAACACCTGACAAATTTCAAGTTAATCGGAGTTATGGAATTATTGTTGAAATTAAAAAAAATGGCTGCTCCAAGATGGCGGACAAGATTTGGTCCGATTCCATTCAAAATTGGTAAGTGGAGGTTTTTGAGGACGGAGATCATGATTTTTTTGTTTAAATTTATAAATTCAAGATGGCGGCTTCCAAATAATGTTTTGTTTTTGTATAAATGACGATCAAAATATTTTTTCACATTATAGTTGGCCTTGACAAACTCCACATTTGGTGTCATTTAACCGACCTCGTATCTCTCACCGTTAAAAAGATACCCATGGTGAGCATGGTAAGTGGGACACACTGTATAAACATGTATCCTCCCTCACTTGATTTTGTTCTTGAGATACAGGATGTCGAAATTTCAATAAAATAATATTTATCATTCCCAAGAAACATATTATGTTTTTAGCAGGGAAAATCATGAAAGAGCAACTACAAAAAAAAATTAGATAATCAGATAATCATTTTTAAATCATATACATAGTACATATAATGTTGTTTCTTCTACAGACTGTTGATAATTAGTTCTTGAATTGATTTAGGATGAATATATGAGAATCAAAAACGTATTTTTTCAGTTCTTTTTTTAATTTCTCAACACTTAATTTTTTCTTTAGTCTTGCAGGTAATTCATTATAGAAAATTGTTCCATTGTATAAAATAGATCTTCTACCCATATCTGATTTATTAATTATTATTACTGGAAAAACCACTTGCCAGATTTGAAATAATAACCCAAGTGACAGACATCTGACTTATATTTATGATGTGTTCCCCACTGTTATTTTCTCCATGTTACATATTTTTGTAAGATTGAATCATTGAAATAACATTTTAGTGTTTTGAATCACGTAAGATTTTTGGGAAAAACAATAAAAAGTTCATTTGAATCCAAATTTCAAAATAGACTGAATTTTATCATCATGAAATCAAATTAAAGATTATCATGAACACCCTGTATTTCAAAAACGATGCAAGTTGTGACACATGTAAAATATGTAAAAAAATCACCCCCCGAAATTGTGTGGAACTTATTTATGCATAGAAACTGGGAGAATTGCGAATTTTATTCAAATAAAAACTCAAAAGAAAAGCAAACAAGTTCTTTTCATATTGCTTTCCATCATTATTTTTCTTTAAATTTTAGTTTGATATCTCTCAACCTTTCATATCAATTTCTATGCATTATCTCTAAGAGCTCACGCTTATGAAATCCCCACCAGATTATTCATGCCGTTTTTTTAAATATAAATTAAACAGCACCTGTTTTGTACGTGGATGTGAATTTTTTCTTCCTCATAATTTATCATTTCACACCGTTAATGCTCGCATTTTGTTCCACTTCCATAGAAAGTTCGTTGGTACAGAACAAATATACAGTAGGTGAATTAAAATATAACAGCCCTTTACGTTAATGCACAGACATTTTCAGAATGCATTTGTACTTATAATATGATTTCAAATACGATTCATTTTTTTGCCCGAATTTCCTCTCGAACAGTGTTTGTGATGTGTAATTTTGTTTTACAAATTGTTTCAAAATCGCTGCCAGCGTTGTATCCAATTTCGCTGGTATTGAAGAGCAAAATACTAAAAATAAAGCGTTAGATCTGTCTGCTTAATTATGTACACCATAAAAAATAAAAATACACTGCTATACAAATTGTTCCAAGAACACATTTAGGTGTGATGTAATCCAAGAAAAAATTACCAAAACCGCATCATGCCTTTGGTAAAAACATAGGACAAAAAAATTCTCTGAGAGCTGAGGGTATTTTTGGGAAAATCATTATAGCAAAAAAAAACTAAATGAAGCGATAAGAATGACGTTAATATTTTCTCATTGGCTGGAACACAAAAAAATGTAGCCAGCACATTCCTTATTGGCATTTTAACCTGAAATTATAGAACGTTGTGTAGGGAACACATTGTAAATCATTGAACTAAGACTGAGGATAAGCCTTTTCTAACATCTACAATTTTTGGAATTGGAAAATATCAGAGATTTGGATTGTTATATTATTTTCTATAATAAGACTGTGACAATGGAATGTTGTTTTTGTCGCATTGTTAACATAACATTTTTATATTGTTTCACAACATATTTGACTTAACGTTCTTTGACACTAGACATGAATCAGTTTTGGTCATTTTTTCATTGACTCACACCTTACTCACAGCTTTTTCTGTGACGTTTAATCTGTCCTAATAATTTGGATAGCGCCCCCTGCAGGACCTAACGTTATTTGATAATTTGCTTTAACCATACGACGATCTAAAAAAACCACTGAATCATCATCTGTCGAATGATATCTAGTCTCTTTAATAATTGTTTCAATGTAGATGTCAGGAAATATTTTTCATAAGTGATATAATATATGTTCCAGTATTTGTTTATCAATATACCTACAGTTTATAAAAAAGGATATTGCCGAAGTATCAAAGTTATTATGGAATAGAGAAGTTCAGCCAGCATTGAGAGGGTACCAAGGTAAAAAAATTAAAATTTTATGCTGGTAAAACAAAAAATGAGAATAAATGAAAAAGACTAATCATAACTCAATATCAAAAAGGTAATGATGGGTTGTGTGCAAGAACTGTCAGATGACCGACCCTGGAGGTGAAACATAGAAACACAACCTCACTTTTCTTATTTGTTTATATATGAGTGGAATATTTTTTCACAATTATTTTGGCATATGAATCGTGTTTTTCGGATATTCATTAATTCGCGAATGCCATCACATTGTGCTGTTGTACATTGTACAAAAATGCAGCGAGAGACGAAGGAATCCGGTTGGTACATTATGATTCGAAATTAAGTACCTACTATAGTCACTCACATATAGTTTTCACTTTGAAATTTGGTAAATTCTTTGATTCCTCATCGGAATTCCTTCTGCAATAGGAGCTAATAGAAATACTCGTGACATGCTGACGAAATATGATCGTGTGTGTTGTAGACATTTTCAATTTATTAGCAGTATCAGCTTCTATTGCAGAAGTGGCAGAAGGAATTTTAATAAGAAATGACGAAATTTCAAAATGAAAACTATGTGAGTTTACTATATTTACCTGAAAAATCATATTCCTTTGTCTCTCGCTGCATTTTTTGTGCATTATACAACGGCACAATGAGAAGGCATGCTTGAATTAATGAATAGCGCAAAAAACACTATTCATATGCCAAAATATTGTGATTATTTCAATCCATTTGATTCCTCTATAAACGAGTAAACAAAAGTTAGGTTGTGTGTGTGTTGTGTTTAACAGAAAAGTGAGGTTGTGTTTCAATATTTTACCTCGAGGATCAATCATCGTGCACGCGACCTATAGACTTCTCCATTTCTTCTCATTTTTTGTGTTACCACCATAAAATCTCATTATTTTACATTTTACGTTGGTATCCTGAAGACAAGGACGAAGGGAAATACAAATATTTTCTCTCTCAAATCTAGCTGAAAATCTCCATTCCCGAGAATCACAAATAGAAATAGAGGTGAAAAAAAATCTTAAATCAACATTCAACATTGTGCAAAAATCCCTTGAACCTATGTAAACCCATAAAACATAAGACAGATACCATAGGGAAAGATCTGTGTTCTCTCTCGACGATGGCTAAACTGTATACCAATATTGTAAAGTAAAAGAAGATATTCAACGGAAATACTGAAAATGATAAAAGTATATTTAAAGGAGAAAACACCATGCATTTTTGCAATTTCTGCTCCCCCACTATCCAAGGTCCAAAATTGATTTTTTCAAAAAATAAATCCATGACCAAGAACCAAATTGAATGACCTCTGCTTCTACACAGGGTGACTCATTAGGAATGGGAAATCTCTGAACTATCAATAGTAAACACCAAAATAATAAAAAACAAAATGATTGAGTTTAAAAAAATATTCCTCTTGCACACCTTGTATTGCCTAAGCCAGCAAAATTTTCATGAAGCATGCTAAGCTAAATCTCCATATTTTAATATTATCTGGTAGTTCAAAGATCGCTCATTCTTAATGAATCACCCTGTATTAAATATGACCTTGTCAGATGTGAAGTTATCCAGTTGTTTTATTGAAATTAGGATGGTGTAAAAACTCCTATCAAATCCCATCTACTGTTTTTCGGTCAAAGTTCTTAACCTACGGCCAACTTAACAGAAGGATTCTTTTCAATATCGCGGAATGAAGGTCGCATTTTACCCGTTAGATGGCGGGATCTCAGCCAAAATTCAATGTTGATAGAACTGATGATAATTAAAATTCCCCAACATTACAGTTTCCTACTTTCAAATTTAATCTCATTTGATTTGAGATTATGTTATGAATGTTATGATATTATTATTTCTGGTGCAAGCGATTGTAAGCACCGTTTCCTGTTTTCTGTCATCAAAGGAATCTGTAAAAAGTGTCGCCATCTTGCGGACAACTGAGAACTGGTATGCCATTATTGCGGAATCTGCCGGTCAAGCGTTTTGGGAGAAACAAAACACTGTATGTGATTACACCATATTCTATCCACCTTGGTTGTAATCATCTTTCTAACATATTTTAAGAGAGATAGCAAAGTTTCCATGGAGCAAAATTGATAATTTTTATACAAAAAATATGATACAGTTCTAGATTGAAATATCTAGGATTTTTTGGAGTATTTTTCAATTCAACAAACTTTTCCAGAAGCACACTCATTAAATTTTTTTTGTTTTTCGAAAAAATCAATTTTGGGAGCGTAAAAATCGGGAAAAACGCATGTTGTATCCTCCTCTTCACAGTAGAATTGAAAAACGAATGAAAAAAAAATACTGACTTGTGTCGATGTTTCTTTGTAGGTGTGTGGCGATTCTGTGTCGAGCGTCGTTGTACTCTAAATGCAGACCCAGCCTGAGTATCGTCGGGTTCTTTTCGATCAGCTGCGTTAACTCCATCTCGATCTTGTTGCCCAACACTTGAGATCGCTGAAAAAAAATATAATAATAAATGCCGAAAACAACTGAATGACATTCGATCGGAAAGACAATGGCAACTTATAATTCCTAACACATCAAACGTGAACATTTCAACATTTTTTAACCCTACTATGCTATTTTTAAGAATTTTGTGGAAATATCATAGTTTAGGAAGTTTGTACAGCTACATTTATCCAACGATATTCGCGAAAGAAAATAAGTGTTCTTGTTCTTGGAAGCTGTCAAAGCGGCATGTTTACATTGTTTTCATTAGTTCACATTTGTTTTTTGTTTGTGCCTATTGGTCATATCATCAAAATAAACCGCTCAGAAGTGTTCTTCAAGTTGTTGCCGTCAGGTGGAGCGACGTGTTATTTTCTATCGCGAATAGACGTTGCAAAAATACAACTGGTACTTCTGGTAATTCGTTATATAATTTGGGACCAAGGTGAGTGAAACAACTCAAGCCAATTGTTTTTTCCGGGCGACGTACAATCAACCTTCTGTTGATATTATGCCTGGTGCTGTAGATGAGTTGCAAGGAAGAACTGTCAGATGAACGACCCTGGAGGTGAAACATTGAAACACAACCTCACTTTTCTTATTTGTTTACAAGTGATCGAGATAGTTTTTCGCAATTATTTTGGCATACGAATCGTGGTTTTCGGCTATTTATTAAATCGCGCCTGCCATCATGCACATTGTGCTGTTGTACAATGCACATAAAATGCAGCGGGAGACGAAGGAATCCGGTTGTTACATTATGATTCGAAAGTAAGTACCTACTATAGTCACTCATATATACTAGGCGGGCCAACCTATTGGAAGTAGCTCTTATTTTTGCAAATGTCAAATCTGTTTTGACATTCGTGAACTAGACAGGTGTAGAATACAAGTGAACAAGTCATGGAGCGATACACTCCCCAAGAACGCGGAATTATCCAAGCCAAGCCATCCTCAATCTCGTGGAAGAAGTTAACGATTTTTCTACCAAAATCATAATGAGCGACGAGGCTCAATTCCACCTCAGCGTGTACGTGGACAAGCAGGACTATCGCTTCTGGGGCACCGAAAATCTACGAGTGATGCACGAGGAGCCATTACACCCGCTCAAAGTGACTGCATGGTGCGTTGTTCACTCTGGAGGAGTCATCGGGCCATTTTTTTTGTCAAACGACAACAGTGGACGGTGCGCGCTTTAGGGCCAAGTTAACTGAGTTTTTTCTAACACAATGGGGAAGACCACTGAGAGAAGAAATCCGTGCAAACCTCTTTCAATCGATGAATCATGATTTACGTTCGATGTAGGTACAATCAATATTATGAGTTAAAGTTGAAGGGAATCGAATCTATATCGTTTTGAAATCAGCATATTTCATTCGATATTTCAAACAGCCAAATATGATGGTGGAGTCGTGACGTATTAGTCCCGAACTGTGGCTATCTCTCTCTGGTACCTCGTCATTCTGCAGTGTTGCAGTGTGATTGGTCGTCAGTTCAATGACAATAAGAGTGTTGGGAATAAGACGTCGCACCAGTCACACCAATGAATTGACAAAATTTCAAATGGCGCAGGAATTGTGTGTTTTGAAATGGACATATTATTATTCTAATTTATTATTTTCATCGTCTTAGCATGAATGACGAAATTCAAAATTAATTCGTTGTTAATTTTTCAGTATAGAGTTCACGATAATGTCATTTTTAAAAATCAGTGGTCTCCCCCATTGAACGAATTAGGACTGGAGGGCATGTTGTTCCAACAGGACGGAGCAACGGCACACACTGCGCGAGCCACAACCGATATTCTGAAGGTGGCGTTCCCGGATCGCCTCATCTCTCGCTTTGGCGATTTGCACTGTCCCGCAAGATCTCCCGATTTAACCGTTCCAGACCCTTCTGGTGTTTTTTTTTTAAGTTCCGTGTTTACGTGAACAAGCCTGAGATCCTGGAAGCCCTCAAGGACAACATTCGACACGAGTGCGACCATCTGTCGCCCGAAGTTCTCGCCGAAGTGATTGAAAATGCATAAAACGAGCCCCTATAGCAAACAATTGTGGCGGCGCCCATTTGGCCGATATCATCTTCTCGACTTGACCAATAAAATTCTAAAGGTTGAAATAAACATAATCAAAAAACAGAATCGACGCTTTTCATTTAGAAACAATATGAGAGTCAAACAACATCGGATCACTTCTCTTGGCCCACCTTGTAGTTTTCATTTTTGAAATTTGGTAATTTTCCTGATTCCTCATCGTAATTCCTTCTGCAATAGGAACCAATAGAAATTTCTAAAATGATGCAAGAAGATTGAATTCTTGCAATCAAACGGGAGGACTGGTCTGACCATGCTGACGAAATATGATCATGTGTGTTGTAGACATTTTCAATCATTTAGCAGTATTAGCTTCTATTGCAGAAGTGGCAGAAGGAATTTCAATAAGAAATGACAAAATTTCATAATGAAAACTATGTGAAAGATTACTATTTACCTGAAAAATCATATTCCTTTGTCTCTCTCTGCATTTTTTGTGCATTGTACAACAGCACAATGAGAAGGCATGCTTGAATTAATGAGAGAGAGAGAGAGAGAGAACATCTTTATTAGGGATATACCCCAAAAGGCCATTGACCGAAGTCTTTCAGCCCAGTTTACAATTATAATATAAAAAGTATGAATATTAATAATAATAATAGTAATAATAGTTTAATGAGAAAAAAAAAAAGTTAATTGCTAATTGCTTTCTTGCTATCCTGTATGCTGCATCTGGATCAGTCCTTGAAAAATGGTTATTTCTGGAAATTTCCTTTTTCTTGTGTAGTTTTCCGGCATCCCAATAACTTGTGGACTCATCACTGGGATATTGTAGGCGGACTTCGCGAATTTTGTGCTGAGTCTGTGTAGTCGTTGGAGGATGGGTTCTACTTTGGTGGAATTGTATAGTAGGGTATTGGAAGTGTTATGCAAGAGATTATTAGGATGTCGGATTTTAGTTATAGCTCTTAAACAACTTCTTTCTGCACTTTTTCTACTTTGATAACTCTACTTAGAAGAGAAAAAATGTAAAAGCGGTAAATGAGGTCTATAATCATACCTAGATGCAATCCGGTGAGGTTTAGATTATCTTCAATTTCAACAGTCGAACCCCTAAACAGCTTACCTAAACTTCTTGAGAGTTGGTGATGATGACCTGGTAGCTGGATACCGGTAGTAAATCTATGGGGGTCCCCTTCTGGACTAGGTTAGTGGCGTGGTTTAATCAAATTCAGGAGGCACTCACAAATGGGCGAAAACTTCCCATATGCGCAACCCGTTCATTTTCTCCATCAAACAAAGAAAATAGAAAAGTCGTCGCGAAAATCACTATCGACGTATATCGTAAACAATCTCGAGCGGAGTTCTAGCGAGACTGGTTGTGCTGGTTGTGCCGAGTTTTTCGTGGGTCCTGCTTTGCTCGTTTAGGGAAATACCAGAAAAACGCGTTTATCTTGAATAAAATGGAACGGTATTGCATCTCGGATGATTCAAGGTTGAGGAAATTCCTCTACCTTGACGAAAATTGAAGTTCCCTAAATAATTAATTTATTTAAGTGAAAACTTAACATCAAAATATTGTGAAAAACTAATTCAATTCGCGAAAATCACGAAGTGTGCGGCCTCTGGTGGCTAACTTTACAAGTCTTGCGAGTATGAACAACAAATATGGTGACCATTGTTTTGAGTTTCTGTGTTTTATATGAAAATAATTTATTTGTTGAAGTGCATATTCCAGAACCTCATTTCTCCCTGATTAAAAAACTCGAATTATTGCATGAACTTTTATTGTTTACAATGGAGAAGCCATTACCTACCTTATAATAATATAATATACATTTTCTGAAGCACAGTTAGAATTCTTGTATAAATGTTGGTTGCAATGATTCGATGAGAATAACTCCAAGTCTTCAATTGTAGGAGATCCTTGTTTATGTAAATCAATGATATTGTTCATTCTGAGCAGCCTCTCCAACCATATCTTCTTTTCCAACCCCTTCACTAGAATTCCATCTCCTTCATAAGAGCCAGTGATATTTCTTGATGAATTCAATTATTTCTTCATACCCATACCATATTGTTGTAATAGCTGATTGCTTGTATGGTTCTATTCCAGTCCATGCAAGTGTTGAGTGGACCATTCCGACCATTCCATATGTTTGAAAACTGTGGAATTGTAGTGTGATATCAATGATGAATACCACCATTGTCCACATCAAAATGGCAATTTCTCTGCACAAAAAGTAATTGTTTCCATATTGGAAACCTTGTACGTATTTCACGAAGTCAACTCATTATTCACTATTTTGCAAAATGATTTCGAAATAACCAATTTGCAATGAGTGCATACTGCAATGTTTTTGTTGTTCATACTCAGTTTGAAATTTGACGTTGATTTGACGTTAAATAGAGCCATCTATTGGTTCGTGATTTTCGCGAATCCTTTGATTCCTCTGTAAACAAATGAAAAAAGTGAGGTTGTGTTTCAATGTTTTACAGAAACGTGTGAGGTTGTATTTCCATATTTTACCGCCAGGGTCGGTCATCGTACACGCGACCAATTTTCAAACAGTGATTTTTCGCCCTGCTCTCACCTGATTGGTCGCCCTGAACTCCTCGACGCTCTTCTTCTTCAGCAACGCCTTGACCAGTCGCACCACCCCCAACGGCGATATGAAATTCGTCTCGACGTTGACCACCCGCAACGTTTCGTTGCTTTCGATGGCCTGCGCCAGCTGCTCCACGTGTCGGTCCGTGAGACCGCAATTCGACAACGAGAGAGTCTCGAGGTGCGTGTTGTGGCGCAAGGCGTCGAACAGGGTGTCGAATTTCTCGTCGGAAATGTTCTGTAGATTGGAGACGATATTTGTTATCGCATAGACCGTTTGAGAAATAAAATGGATACAACCATAGGAATTTTATTCAAAATCTGAAATATCATTCCTGTGAAATACCTGAGGTGTATTTACTTTTATTTTTTTCATTCTTTGCTATAAACATTACATTGCATCTCATATATTCATTAACATTTACAATGGAATAACATGAATAATCAGACAGATTCATATCTGGTATAAGATTATTCATGTGTTATTACATTAAATTATAGTTATTGAAATAAACAACAGATTTAAAAAAAAAGCTCATAAAATAGTAGATTGTTTTATTAGGATCAAAAGTGACACTTTGTTTGACAAGCGAATTTTGCATTTGCGAGGCGGAGCGTTTAGCGAAGCCGAGCGAAAGCAAAATTGAGGACCAGGTGCTCTAATGGAAAATGTTAGGTTAGTGAGCATATCAATAATAATAATAGCGATTATTTATTCCTCTCCATACTAAACTGTGTTTGACTTGATAATCAAATGAAGCTAAACAATATCGTTGTTTAAGACAAAAAAACTATTGCTTGCCGTGATTATTCAAAAACAAGTCATCCATCCCGAAAAAAATACAGATCAAGCAAGTATTTGAATCTTGAAGGCTTTCCTAATCAGAACAAAAATACTCAACTGAGACTGAGATGTTTATAATTCCAATACTAAACTATAATAAGGTGTATTTATATCTCGAACATGGGTAAGAAATGCCAAATCTGCTGAAATCGGTAACAAATCAGGTATGAGTCTCTACCCAAAGAACCAACCGTCACAATGTTGTTTATTCTCAATGACGTCCAGTACATCGTTTTTAGTTCCTAGGAGCTAAAGTTCAACTTTAGCTACTAGGAACTTAAATTCAACTTTAGCTCCTAGGAACTAAATATGTTGCCTAGCAACATACCTATTTTTGTGTCAGTAATAGAAACGTCAATTTAAGAGCTAATTTTGGTATCAAAATGGACGACTTTTGTGTCGGTTGCAGAAAATAATTATTTATTATACAAGGGAAAAAAGTAGTAGATTTTAGTTCCAGGTTGTGTTGTCTACCGACGCGTAACAGAGGGAGACAAAAAACCGTGTGTCAGTAATAGAAACGTCAATTCAAAAGCTAATGTTGGTATTAAAATGGACGACTTTTGTGTGGGTTGCAGAAAAATATATATTTCACGACTATAACACCACTGAGGAAATTACAAAACAAATCAATTAAGTGCATTTTTATCTAAATTTTCTAGAACTAACAGTGAATCTATGCAAACAAACAATTTTAGAATCTGATTTCATTATATAAATTCAAAATAATACATTGTTTCATTCATTTTGTCAGGAATACATTTGAAATATCAAAATTAGCTTTTATTGAAATCAATAGTTCATAGTTATGGGACTAGCCGATTTAATTACTTGATACCAAATACATTCAAGCCAAACATTGGCAAACAATCTGTATTACATAATGTAATAATTTCATACAAATCATTACATGATGAATTGAAAAATATACATGATGTGAGAAGATTAAAAGTCCATCTTGAACAATACCAGTGAATGGAATTCATTAGTTAACCTTTTATTATTATTATTATTATGTGTTCATGTATCCCTATTATAAACAGATATGTTTCTTGGAGTGATAAAGACATTCCATCAAATTGATGATGATTGACAAAGTGTCAAACAAAAATACAATTGATAATCTACATATTATTCAATATTAGATATTTCGAAAAGTTGTTCATCAACTTTATTGCAAGTAGTTATTCACCAATGTCATTGCAAATGAGGACTCATAAAAAAATTATTCATCAATATAATTTCACAAAGTTATTGATCAATATTATGGCATTGGGTCAATCAGCAATGTCATTGCTAATGAGGACTCAACAATAAATTACTGATCGAAATAATTTCAGAAAGATATTCATCAACATTATTGCAAGTAGTTATGCATTAATGCCATTGCAAATGAGCACCCATCAAAACATTATTCATCAATATCATTTCACAACATTATTCATCAATATTTTTACAAGTAGGTAGTCATTCATCAATGTCATTGCCAATGAGGACTTATGAAGAAATTATTCATCAATATTATTGCAAGTAGTTAATCATCAAAGTCACTGCCAATGAGAACTCATCCATGTTATACATATATGTCATTAACAATGAAAACTGATCAATGTTATTCATCAATATTATCTTTGAAAAGTTGTTGACCAATATTACTGCAAGCAAGCAATGACTGACTTGCCAATGAGTTATTCACCAATGTCAGTATCAATGGATTACCTTCAGAAATAATTCAACACTGTCATCATCAATGAGTAATTTGCCAATGAGTCATTCATCTATATACCTGCCAGAGTTATTCAATAATATTCATTGAAGGAGTCATTCATCCATAACTTGTTCATCAATGGGTTTTTAATAGTGTCATTGTCATTGAGTGACTCTAAGATAAGTTATTCATTGTTATTCCAAGTGTAGTTATTCATCATTTGCATTGCCAATGATGACTCATCAACAAGATATTCATTAATGTTATTTCCAACGATTGACTTGCCAATGAGTTAATCAATATTACTTCAATTAGTCGTTCATGAACCAATATCATTGCTGATGAATCAGTGATTTTATCAACATAATTGCAAAATATCACTAGTAATCAATGAGTAATTTGTTGATAAGTTTTTCAACTGAGTTAATCATGAATATGCTGATAAATGAACATCAGTTATTCTTCAATATGTATTCATCAATATCAATGAGTGATTCATCTTCATTATCAATATTATTCATCAATATTCATTGAAAGATTTATCCTTAGATAACTTTTCATCAATAGTATCCATTAATGTAGCTGTCAATGATTTACTCATTAATGGGTAATTTGTCTTTCGGATCGCACGAAAGGAAATCCTTATTATGCTTTACCGATATTATTTCAAAAATGTATTCAGCAATGAGTTACTCAAGAGTTATTCATCATTATGAATTCAAAGAGTTATCAATCAAAGAGAATATCTCAAAAATAGGTTATTCATCAATTAAATTGTCAGTGAATTACTCATCAATAAGTTGTTCATCAATTATTCATTAAAATTTTTCAAACACCATTACCAGTAATAAAATTTGTTAATGGGGATTTATTCACTCCCAAGAAATATGCAATATTTTCTTGAAGCCAAAATATGGTTTGTAATTTTTTTTTTTGACAGAGAATAACAGAAAATTTCAAACTTTTGCTTGACCATCTTTGATATTTGTTACCTTGATGTTGTTCCAGTTCAAATCAATGAATTTGCTTTCATCCTCTTGGACCTTTTTTATCGTCTCATCAGGATCCGTGGAATTGGGTGGATCCATGGGGAAGATTTTCTGTTTGGAGGCTTTCGTGATTCCATCCCAACCTAGACCTACTGGCTGGCCTTTGTTCAATAATGAGGCATGGTATTGGTCTTGGTTCATCATGGAATGGAAACCCAAAATAGCTGAAAGAATGAATACAGTAGAACCATTTTTTCTTACAATCTTCAACAGTCTATTTTTGAGTAAATGTAACTGAAGATTCGATGAAAATAACTGGTGCTGAGTGAAAAGAATGCAGCATGAAGAATATTGATTGGTTGATGTCAGAAAATGCTGCTGCATTTCCAAACTAAAAGTAATGAGAAAATTAAATCAGATATTGTAAAAAATCCATCTATCACAATGGAATGATACAATACAATTTCTTACCAAATAACTTGAAGCTGATTAATATGATTGAATAATTTAAAAAGGAATTCAAGAAACATCTGCTCCTGTAATATTGACATCTTATCTCATTTTTATAGTTTTCTCCTACAACTACTACAGTTTTCCATTGGATACCTAACAGATGAGTCAATTAAGAATCATTTTCAGTTGAACTTTGGGAATATCAAAGTTGATTGATTGATTGAGATGAATAGCTCAACTTCATCATGCTGAAAAAGTTGAGAAAACTAAAATTTGTCCATCCACAAATTTCAAAGGTAGCTGAAGTTCTCATTCAATGTTGTTTTGAATTTGTTGTGATATAACAATTGAGAAACTCAGAAAATTCAACCAATAATCAAATTGACAAAAAACACTACCCATAGAGTCATTAATCTATGCACTACCAAAACTGATGATATTGATCTTATACCAAAGGAGATGCCAAAGTAAATCCAATTTTTTTAGAAACATACACAGTCTTTTACCCTTTAAATCAATAGTCAAAGCTTATATGATTCCAATCATCAGCTGAATAAATGTTCCATTGAAATTGTTGTGCAGTGTACATATATTACTTGGCATTTTTTTAATGTACCACCTGTTGGCATCATTGAGCAAGATCATTTCATTTTCATAGAATCATTTCTATTTTAAGATATGTTTGGAATACAAGCATGGTTATATTAAAGAAATTTCAACACCAAGAGTAGTGGTATTGGAAAAGCAAATTCCCATTCAGTAAAAAAGATTAATCCAGTTAATTCTATTGAGTATCTTGCTATATCATCTAATGTATGTTACTATCCAATAATTATGTAAACAAACATAATCTGAGTTTTAACCTGTCTTATCTTTGATTTGCAGCAAAAAAATATTTATCTGCTCCATATCTTAGGGTTTTTGATAAATATTATGTTGAGTGCCTCTCTTACCTGCCAAATCAATAATTTCATCTTGTGATGCTGTACCCAATGCCTGTTCATATTCATCACCCAAATCTATGGCAATCTGTTCATCAGCTTCTTGTTCTCTAACAGGTGGTGGAGGAGGAATCCACTAAGAAAATCAAATAAAAATGAAACAAATATACATAATGAAAATGTGTGGCCATACCTTTTTCCCCCTTACAGTTCCTGCCACATAAGGTTTCACCTCAGGTATATCAGGAGTCTCTATAGCCTCCTTGTTTATATGCTCTATCAGCTTTTTCCTATTTAGAGGCCCAGTAGGGTCTTTTTCACATTCATAACTGTTCCTTTGAGAAGGAGGTAAAAATGAATCCTGTGAAAGCAAAAAAAGATACATGCAGTTACCTTGGGCAGGTCTTATGTTTCTTGTACTCACGTCTGGATCTACTTCTTTGGCTAGTACACTGATTTCCTCTGCAGTTAGCTTATTGAGTAGTTCATCAACGTCTATATCATCGTAGACACTCAAATCTTTTCCGTATAATTTGGCAGGAGTCGTCATTGTGGTGGTTGTAGTTTTTGTGGACGTCTGTAAAAATAATTAATACATTCTACTAGTCTACTAGTTCACTAGTTCATCATAGGGCGTAACCTCAATCAATTGTAACGTTGTTTTTACGAGTTTTGACGAATGAACAAAGTCCAATACCTCGTTTGGATCCTTTAGAAATGAGGTAATTGTGATTTCAACACACCTAGATTAAAATGACCTCAATTTTTTAATGAAAAATGATTAAAAACTCCGCTCCTCTTTGGCTATATTCCGAATTCAACTGACAGTACTGAATCTGCTGATTTTCCATTCCGAAATCAAAAAATTCACTCGAAGTGACAGATGCTTGTCAGCAGACATACTATTCATTCCAAATATTTCGACTCAACATTCTGCTGGAATTGCTGAGTATCAAAAGGTAGTGTGGCTTCAGTGAACTGTCATATTTTAGAGGGGAAAGGAATGTAACATTCATTTCCGTTGTTAATGAAATGATTCTCAATATCAGAAAATACCTGGAGTATGAAGTAGTAGAGCAGGTAAGGAAAGGAGCAGCATTGGCTAAATAAACTAAATAAACCTGGAATGTCTCCTAAAATTCATCATTATTAAGGCATATTGCGATTTTCATGAATCTCAATTCTAAATCTGGTGCATCATGAGAAATTTATGGCAACAAAATGTTCAAGTAATCTTCATCACTCGAGCTTGAATCGCCATCGTCAACAATCGTAGAAACTATAGAGGATACAAGAATCGATTTCTCTTCCATGTTAAATATTAAATTTCCAAAATTTATAACAAGTAGGAGGCTAAACATCTAGTTCAGATAAACGAGAAACTTACTACTGATGAAAACCATGAAAACGTGTCCCGAATTACAGTAGAGAATTTTTGATTTTATATTTCGGAACACAGATTTTCAGCAGAGTCAGTGGATCAACTGACAGTACTGACCAGTTGAATTCGGAATATAGCCTTTATTGCAATACAAAGTAAAAATTTTGACAGAAACATTGCTGTCAATGTCACTATTGTCAATAGTCAATAGTGTCAATTGTCAATGATAATCATCGACAGAGGTGGTTTTTCTCGATGTACCATGGATTCACAGATTACACTATGACGTCAGCAACGTACCAAAATGGTCAGGGCCGTATTAGGCGATTATTTCAGAGTATCTCGAGGCTAAGAAGTGGTAATCACGCTATATCATTGGATTATTCTAGGATTCTGAGAATCAATAAACTATAAATGGTTATACAAGCCCATTTCTCTGAGAGGAAATAATTAAATTTATGTGGGTAAGTACACACTTATTTGAAATATTATTTCCAACTGAAAATCTGTGAGCAATCAGCTGTGTGAACGTTTATATACCATGTGGCTCCATCTGACGAGCCACAACAAAGAACCAAAATACTCAGCGGAGACGAAATATACGCGAAAATTCAAATCTCAAGGTCGTCACCGTCGCCGAAAAGAACACAGGGCGTTCCGAAATTCTAGGGGGGGGCGACTGGCACTCCTCCAAATAGCTATACTTGGACATCCGATGCGTATAAATTATTTATAGAGTGCACGGCAGACCAGCGGCCACTGGCCTTAACGACAAAATGGCGGCGCCCGTGACCTAGACGATCGTAGGTAGATGCACAACGGCTCAGCTGATTGGGATCGGTGCATATTAAAATTTCGAAATTGCTATTATTTCAAGTCATGAATGAAGAAAAACTTAGAATCCTATCTCCATTCATTCTTAGTGTGATAGGCAAAAGTAGATAATGTGTTCTTTCTAATCCACAAGGTGTCGCAGAACAACGTACCATAAATCCTACAGGGTGAATCAACTTACCTCTGTATATTCCAAAATCCTCGAGAGGTATACTGCTCTGGAATTTGTAGAGCAATTGACTAAAGTAAATATCCATGGAAAACTTGTCGTACCAATTGAATCAATATACTGGGAGTTACGTGTTTCACATTCTCTTTGATAAAAAATAATTAACTTGACCACATTTTGATGTTTCGATTAATAACAAAATAAATTTCTCTTTTTTCTTACTGCAGTGTTTTTATAATTTTTCTTGATTTTCGAGATATATAACAAAATACATTCATCGCCCTTTCACGTCTCAACGGTGCATTTTCGTGAGGTAAGTTGACTTCAATTGACCTATTTTTGGTCTCTATAAGTTCACCCTGAAGAATTTATGCTATATTGTTCTGGGACACCTTGTATATCGTTGCAGAGAATATGACTAATAAGAGAGAAACTCAAAGTCATTACCACAATACGAAAATGGTAGATAACGAGAGAAAAACAACTATTTTCCTGGCTTTATGCCATATGTTTCCTTCCTAAATGCCGAGCTGCGCCTAAGTGGTTCAGGATGGCGGACTATCTGCAAACCGGTTTCGAGCTCTTGGCTCTCATCAGTGCAAGACTGTCCCAGATAGCATTCTTGACCGCTATCTAGTGCGAACCTGACCAAACCTAAACGCATTTCAGCATCTCAGATCAGATCTGAGATGAAAATACCACTATGTTATTTGAACAAAGGCTAAATATTTATTTCGGCAACTATTTAGCCACCCTTAACAGAACGTAGAACGAAAAAGAAGAAGATTAGCTATTCTATAAGTAGAAGATATTCTGCAGAAATTACTAACAAAGCGATAGTGATTGTGATAAAACTAATTTCAATTTTTTTTAAATGACATTGTGGTATTCTAGGCCATGCATTTTTGCTTTCGAGAAAACTATCAATTGAAATTCATCGCGCACTCTTTCAATCATTCAAATGTCTAGAAAACATGCCCAAATAATGTCGTTGAACATTCAGTATGATTGCAAGGAGAACGATAGTGTTCAGAAGCCGTTGACCCTCTTCGAAGGTGTACTCATTAGAAACAATAATTACCATTCAAAAAGAAGACGTTCATACAACGAGGTCAGGTGCTGATAGGTAAAATAAACGATATGTTTAGCGGTGTCACTGAATGCTTAATGATATATGAATGATAGAAAAAAGAGAATATACAGGGTGTTTCTGAAATTGAAATAGTAAATGAAGTGAACAAAATGAATCATAATTCGTACGTACCACATCTGGCAATATGCATCAATACCAATATAGGTGATCAGTATTTTCCAAATTGAAGTGATATATTTTATAAAAAAATTACTCTCCATAGTATGACGACAGTAAGTTGGTATTTTTAGCACCTTTGCTCCCTGTAACCTCCCAAAGGCACCATGACCTAAACTTCATATTTGCCCATCGTTCTTACCTGTGTTGGGAGCATGTGCTGAGAAACTTTCAGCTTTTATAAAATATCAAGGGTCTGGAAACTAAAGCTTTCATTGTTTATAAATTAATAATCTCTTACTTTCTTAGCCCGAAAAAGTGTTTTGCTTACACACATCAAACACATTGATGGAGAATTGAGAAAATGCAGGAAGAAGGAAGTATACGTAGTATATGAATAATACGCATTGCCTTTTGCAATGAAAGCAGGAAATGTTGATATTTTTCTCTCAATAGTATTGATAATAAAATGCTGGAAATAGTAAGTAACGGTAGTGATCGAGGAAGTGTTTATGAAAATTTGAGCAATAAATTTGTTGTTCCAACAACATCGTATACAGTTCCGTGTAGCCTGGCAAACAAAATTATAATCTATTAAATGAAAGCTATTTTTAAACGAAAATCGATATTTTCGTAAATTCAAACTTTTAACGACCCAACTAATTATGCAACTACTTCGGCTTTTTTTTTTCATTCGAATGTTTCTGTATATTAGTGTATATTGACGTTCCGAGTATTAGAGATGATTCTAGCATGTGGAAAACTTCAGCCTCTCGAATTGAAGGATGAAAAAAAGCTATTTCCGTACGGTCACATGCCTATTCCATGACGATAATTCAAATTAATGATGCTTCAATTTCAGTGTCAAGATTTTATGTACCTGCTCAGATTCGAAACGGATGTGCGTTTGCCAAAATCCAAATATCTTCCTGATACCTGTTCACACCTGCCATACCAAGATTATTGGCCGACAGCATGATGATTTACTATAATAATTATTGTCTATCGAAAAAACACTCACAATAACTTGCATTTTATTGTACACTATTACTATTTTCTACAGAAATCAATACTGCAATCCTAAACAGTAAAATGGAATCCATTGAAATGTCTCTTGTTTCAAGTTGCAATCTTGATTTTTGTGCAGAATATTGTGTAAATCAGATGATTTTTTTTAATACTTCGCTTCTTTAATATAAGAATCCTAAAAAAGAAATTCAACCGATAGTCAATGATACCTCGTATATTGAAATACATGCTATATATTAACTCCTGAAATCTGAGTATAAAAAAGAGGAATTAGAGATCAATTGAGGAAACTTGTAACTCAGACATTTTTTCGTCACTGAGGTACGTGTCAGAAGACGAAAATGATATGACCAATCGCATGGATCTTTTTCCGTTTTTATATTGTCAACAGGAGCAGATTCGTTTCCAAAATGTCCTTAGTCAAACATTTTTCAATGTTTCTATCAGTGGTATTTCAGGCAAGTATATTGAATTAATACTAATATTTTCATTTTTAGAGGTGACGACAAAAAATCCCAAAAATTTAGAGAAACGAAGACAATAATTTGAATTCCAATGCCCTACATCTCAATATATATTCTCATCATCATTATAAGCTGTATTGTTTTTCCATCTTGTTGTTTTATAAGGTGTTTTGTAATATGAGTATCATTTCAATATTCACATTTTTATTCATAAAAATGGCAGAAAAAAAATTAGAGAAATGAACATATCACTTTCTCGATTAACCTACAGCGAGACATACAGTATTGTTTTTAAAACTTCTTCATTATTCATGTTTTATTATTCCCTATTCGCGAGGTTGGGATTGATCCATCCTGTATAAACTTCATAAAGAAATACTAGAGGTATTTTTCGTTCATAGATGAATTATTTTTTACATATGTATATGTCAGTGGTAATAATGCGATTCTG